TTCATGGGTAGGGGGACCCCTATGGATCCCCATGGATACTAGTAGGCTGGTAAAAGAAGAAAATATGTTATTTGATGATTGAAATGCAAAGGCATGATAAGTGTTATGTTATAAAGTTTATATGATTTCATGATAATGATAATGTTATTGTTTTCATATGTTGCTTTCATGGATCTCACCGAGGTAAGTTGACAGTAAATGTTTTTATGCTAATAAACGAGTTTGTTATAAATTATGCTCCATTGGTCATTTTTGTTTTCTATCCACCTTTACTTCCGTGGCGGTGAGATAGTGTGATGTCTTTACTAGACTGGTGTAGCTCATTCCTTATTTAACCATTTCAGATCAGGAAGACATTGTTCCCGAGCCCGTTCCGCAGGAAGACGGCGAAGGGGACGCCTAAAGACTCCATAGCTATATTTATAGTTTTTATCTCGAGTATCTCTTTTAGTTAGTTTGTTCTTTCATGTTTTGAGTACGTTTTGGTTATTGTGTAAGAGATGTTAATCAAAATTTTTATTACGTTTCCGCATTTGACATTTCTAATACATATATTTCATTTAAATTTTCGGGGTCGTTATAACATATTGCAAAGTAAATTATTGTCAATACAACAAAAAAAGATCAAAATCTGCCATATATTCTCCCATAAAAATTAAAATAAGCACAACATAGATAAATGAACTTTTTAAAATCAGTATACTAATTTATTCAGAGTAAATAACTAAAAATGATAACTAAAGAACTGTAGAGAAATTTACTACAACTTAGTTCTGGTATCCATATGTTTTCGCTAATTACTTAAAAAAATTTTGCTTGATATATTCCACAATTTCATTCACATAATCTTCATATCTAAACACAGAAAACTAGATTAAAAAATTGATCAATCAAATTTAAAAAAATTCGAATTATTTAAACAAAAACCACCACTAATCCAAATTGATTCGGATTATAAATAAAGTCAGCCATATCAAATTTTGCAAACAAATTCATAGTTTGACCTAAACAACCAAAGATTAAAGTGAAAGATCAAAACTTTTCTCTTTGTTTCTCTAAATTTTCACTTCAACCGATCACAATGCAACCGAAATCCAATGCAAAAATCATAATGATAATATATATAGATATACATATATATATGTATGTATTGTGCAAGGAGTCTCACCCAAGAGACATGCTAAACAACCAATATTATTTTGGTTAATTACTGACTCTACGGAAGGACTGCATCTTAACGTCTTCATGATATATGATGCTTCCTTCTATCTTCATCTTCTTTCTCTTGCTGTTTCGCAACAGGTTCTATAACATCCATATTTGTATAGTAAGATTCTAAGAAATTACAGCTTGTACACTGCCCTCAGTTTCAGATAACAATGAATCTCCACAACGCTCCTTCTCAAACCACAAACACCTTTTGACAGCTTCAAACAGGCCGGTCCCATCTCTCTGCAAGATTGTGTTTTCATTCGGATTCGGCCCCTCGAACATTTTCCTTCGTAATTAAATATTAAATCCCTAACGCTCAATCTAATAAGATTGTGTTGTATTAAATCACTGTGATTTTGGTTAGATGTTAAAGTTATTTTTTTCCAAAGAGTTTT